ATCATTCGGTAAGCAGCACATGTGAATAGCTCGAATAACAAGCTTCATCAGATCGGGTCGTATTTCTTCTGCCTCCAGTAGAGCTTCAAATCGTTTAGATTTGTTGAAAAGATCCAAAATTCCCTCGTCAGGAGAGTTTGAATCACATACTTTTTCTAAGGCCCTATAATTGAGAGGATTAGAATCTCTTCCTCGTTGTACATGTGTTCCTGCCCCATTTCTATCAAATGCGGGTCTTCTTCCCCGGGAAAACTCATGTGAATGACGAGTTCTACTGCTATTTCGTTCCATTAATCCTTGTCCATTGAAAGAGACGCGCGGATTTCTTTCTCCTGTAACAGCTCTCTTCATTTTTGTTCTATTTTGAAGTTAGGGGAACTGTGCCATCGAGTGTTTGGCATATCTAAGGTCATTGAGAACTTCTTTTCTTCTTTCGAAAAAACAGAAAGAAAGAAAACGTTACCAAAAATTCTCGTGACAAAAGGTGATAAGATAGTAAGTGGTTAGGGTTAGGGTTAGTCGGATTTTCCTGATTTGAGGAGTCCTGAAAAGGACTGTTGTTGCTTACAGTTACTATCGTTTCGACAACCTCAGCGGAAGTCACTATCAGAGTCAAGTGAAGAGCTACCTTTCAGTGGAGTGTAAGGAGTCTGGCTCGTAAATTTGATTGGTCAATTTAGCGCTTGAAAGTCAGTCAGTCGGTCGGTCAGCCATTAAGCAAGTTTGTGGTCGTGTTTGAAGCTTTCCAAGTTAAAGTAACTATTTGATAAACCTTGAGAATTGTTATTGATCAGCTAACGTTGATCAGCACCATTTGCATCAATGCTTGTGTTTTTGAGGGTAACAAAATAAGACTAAAAACTTGTATACCTGAACTTAGTTTTGTAGGATTAAGGTGGTTTAGAGATCTCTCCAGGAGTTGGTAAAATCGTTTCTACAGAAAACTGTATTTTAACAAGCTATGGGTGATGAGCTGCTCATGTTTTTTTACCCAACAGCTTGGTATTCCTTAGATAGATCTATCTAAAGGCTCTCTAATGTAAAAATTACTTTAGCCGTTGAAGGCACTAATATTGATCCCAAGGGAACCCTACCGAGCGTCTTGTTTGCTTATCCTCCTAGCCTACAAAGCAGGCGTAATTTTGGCGAGCGAGTACTCAATATTTTTTCAGCGATAATTATGGCCGCCATCTTTGATGTTAATAGCAATGGTAAGCTGGGGAGAGAAAGAAATTTTTACCAATGGGGTGAGCGACGATCAAAAACAAGGAGAGGGGTAGGGATGGGGAAAATATTTCGCCTTTCGCCCCCCCCCCCCCCCCCCCCCCCCCCCCCCCCCCCCCCCCCCCCCCCCTTCCGCTGCCTCTATTTCCAAATCATACATGGCCGGTTGAATAGGACACCTGAACTTTAGGTCACTACCTTTCTCGACAAGGAGGCAGTAGCTACCAATTTGTCTATTTCTATTGTATGCTACAGACATTGCAAATTTACATGTTGTCAGTTATCATAATCTAGTTAATGCACTCTAGTGCTTTAGATCTTGATTCATATCATTCTTAAACAGCTCGAATTTACCGATTCGATGAACAACCCTGGAAACTTATAGCTTTAAGATGGTCGAAAGATTCTGTTTAGTCTGTTTGGTCTAAAAATGAACATGCGAAAAGAAACCGCAGAAGATACCAGAAATTCACTCGCTACAGAGCCGACCATTAAATATAATACCGTTTTTAATGAGTGTGTCTTCATCTCAATGAAATATTCTGAAGTCTCTAAGTTCAGAAGTGCTGTTTTCTGTAGCATCGAGGATCTTTCAAGAAAGGTAAGTACTACATTTTTAACCTACTAGGTAACTTTGGAATTCCACACACTTTTCGATCTAATTATTCAGGATGAAAATATGTCGTTTGAAAGTTTTCTTGAGAA